GAGGCACTGGCTCCCCTGGAATTGAAATGACAGGGTGCTGGGAACAGAATTCAGATCCCTGCAAGAGCAGTATGCTCTCTTTTTTTTTTTTTTTTTTTTTTTTTTTTTTTTTTTTTTTTTTTTTTGGTTTTTCGAGACAGGGTTTCTCTGTGTAGCTTTGCGCCTTTCCTGGAACTCACTTGGTAGTCCAGGCTGGCCTCGAACTCACAGAGATCCGCCTGGCTCTGCCTCCCGAGTGCTGGGATTAAAGGCGTGCGCCACCACCGCCCGGCTGCAGTATGCTCTCTTAACCACTGTGCTGTCTCTCCAACCCCAGTTGAAGATCAAGAGGTGGGGTCCAGTTTATTTTATATTGATGTATGAATGTTTTGAATCCCTGAACCCTGAAAAAGAGGTTTGAGGGTTTATCTGTTTGTTTGTAGACAAGGTTTCTCTGTGGAACAGCCCTATCTGTCCTGGAACTTGCTCTGCAGACCAGGCTGGCCTCAAACTCAGAGATCCTCCTGCCTCTGCCCCCTGAGTGCTGGGATTAAAGGCATGTGCCACCATACCCAGTTCAAGAGGTTTTTTTTTTTTGTTTTTGTTTTTGGTTTTTCGAGACAGGCTATGGATTTGTTCCAGATTAAGACACATCAGGTTTGACCAGCCAAGACCACCTGAAAGGTCTCCGATGACACCATGGTCCAGATGATCCAACATCCAGAATGGTCTCAAGGCAACTGGCTCAGACGATACAGCCTCACGGACTACTCCATAACCCTAAAATATTCTTTGTGTCCCCATAAGATACAGCGCCCCCCTCCAGCAGGAAGTAGTAAGAGAAGCTACGCCCAAATTCCCAAATATACCAAACTGACTTTGGAGATGTGTAAAGGTTAAAACCTTCCTTTTTAAGAAAAGAAAAGGGGAGGTGCTGTGGGATGGTCTGTATGTCAAATGTGTTGCTGATTGGTCAATGAATAAATCATTGATTGGCCCGTGGCCAGGCAGGAAGTATAGGCGGGACAAGGAGGAGAATAGAGCTGGGAAGTGGAAGGCTGAGTCAGGGAGACACTGCCAGCCGCCATCAGGACAAGGAAGATGTAAAGTACCGGTAAGCCACAAGCCACGTGGCAAGGTATAGATTAATAGAAATGGATTAATTTAAGCTGTAAGAACAGTTAGCAAGAAGCCTGCCACGGCCATACAGTTTGAAACCAATATAAGTCTCTGTGTTTACTTGGTCGGGTCTGAGAGGCTGTGGGACTGGCGGGTGAGAGAGATTTGTCCTGACTGTGGGCCAGGCAGGAAAACTCTAGCAACAGGTTTCTCTGTGTAGCTTTGCGCCTTTCCTGGATCTCGCTCTATAGACCAGGCTGGCCTCGAACTCACAGAGATCCGCCTGGCTCTGCCTCCCAAGTGCTGGGATTAAAGGCGTGCGCCACCACCGCCCGGCAAGAGGTTTGTTTTTGAGGCAAGGTCTCACTATGTAACCTAGACTGGCCTGGTACTCAGGGTCATCCTGCTTCAGCCTCCTGAGACTGGGAGTACATACATGTTGACATGTACAAGAGAATTTAGGTCTTTAGTGGAATGCTCTGCAGTGTTTTTGTTTTGTTCAATAAAACTTAAGATCATTGGAGACTGCCTTCTTTCTCATGACACCTGTGAATTAGTTTCCACATAGTTGTCTTAAAAACAAAATCCCAGACCCACTCTGGCTTCCTGTCTGGCCATGTGATTTCTCCCTTACACACACCCCCACCATTGTGATGCCATTCATCATGCCTTTACCAGCATCAAGCAGATGGCTACACTATGATTTTGAATCTCCCTGTTAGTAATGTAAGCATCTTCCCTTTAAACTTACACAGTGTCTGGTATTTTGTATTAGTGAGTAGAAATTAGTACAATTAACAATCTCAAATTGTAATTTCTGATAGTAATCCATAATTCACATTAATCCACCCAAGTCATAAGGATGGTTTAGAAGAGTTGTAAAAAATGTGGATATATATATATATATACACACACAAACATTTCCCTAGCTAGTTGTTTCATTTCATATTTGTCCTCAGAAAAAGTAATACAGAAAAATAAATGTTTGGATTTGGTACCTGAATGTCTTTTGTTTTTGCATTTTTTCGAGACAGGGTCTTTCTCTCTAGCCTTGACTGTCCTGTAACTCATTATGTAGGTTGGCCTCAAATTCAGAGAGATCCACCTGGCTACCTCTGCCTTCCAAGTGCTCGAATCATAGGTGTGTGCCATCATGCCCATTTTTTTGTTTTTCGAGACAGGGTTTCTCTGTGTAGTTTTGGTGACTGTCCTAGATCTTGCTCTGTAGACCAGGCTGGCTTTGAACTGACAGAGATCCGCCTGGCTCTGCCTCCCGAGTGCTAGGATTGGTGGTGGTGACCACCATCGCCCAGCCCTTTTTTTTCTTTTCTAAACTCTTTTCAAAGTACATGTCATTTCTTCTGTGAAGATGGGTTCCGTAGATAGACTACATGTGTTATCTTAAGGACCTGGGGGAGGATCTGGTGTGGTCTCAGTCATATAGCTAGCACAAAGGTCACTAGGCTACTAAACACCTCCCATTTGTAAGGGTCTGCAAGGACCAGGTGTAGCCTGGCTGCACAAATAGCGCAGAGGCCACCTAGGCTATTAACCACCTCCACTCCCAGCTTTCTAGGTGGAAAACAGGTTATATATCTCTTCCTTTCAAGAGACAACTCTGTATGTTTAATATTCCAGGTTTCCCTAATGCTTATGGGTGAGTGCAATGACCTCTGTGCCCACACTTGCAGATACACAATCTTACGAGTTATCTCTCTTTTTCTACGTTTAGATTTATTATTTTGGGGTATAAACATTTTGAATTCCCAGTGTTGTGGGGTCTCCACCAGAGACGACTGCTCAGACATGGGTTTAATCCAATAGAAAGTCTTTATTAGCTGACCATTGACTGCACCAGGTGTTCAGAATACCACTGTAGTCCTGGGCCTTCCTCAGGGTGAGCTTTTAAGCACAAAAACCATATTCTAAGTTGATGCACTTCAGTTAAGCAAGAATTGAACCCAGCTCCTCTGAACGAACAAGTGCTTTCAAACACCGAGCCATCCCTCCAGCCTGCTCAAGGCTCTTATATGAAGTGGGACAGTATTCCCGTAGGTATTATACTTACAGGTTTATTTGAGAAAGGGATCTCACTTGACAGTTCAACATGGCCCTGAACTTGCAATCCTGTCCCAGTTTCCTGATTGTCAACAGCTGGATTTCAATGTTTATTAAAACTACTACTTAAGACTGCCTATAACCTGGAAGAATGCAGGCAGGATTCACAGTGACATCTAACTCCAGTGAATTTCAGCTAAGCTTTTGTTCATCAATACCAAGTAGTGGAATTACAGGTCTGGGCTACTTAGGGTTTTTGTTTTGTAGTACTGGGGCTTGAAACTGGGGCCTCACAGGTGCCAGGCAAGTGCTTTACCTCTGAGCTACACCCCCCACCCCTGGCCCTTTTTGGTTAATTGTGTTGTTGTGTTTTTGAGACAGGGTCTTATTGTGTAGCTCTGGCTATCCTGGAACTATGTAGGTCAGGCTAGTCTGGAACTCACAGAGCTCTGCCTACCTCTTAGTCTTCCAGTGCTGGGATTTAAAGCGGGCACCATCATCCCAGCTCTGAGAGGTTTTTTGTTTCTCAGCCTGGCCCGGGATAATCCTCTTGCCTCAACCTTCCACTAACTGTGACTTTAGGTGGAAGTCTACATGACCTGACTGGTTTCAGATGAATTATCTCTGGAGTATTTGTATTAGCAAATACGATATCAATGACATAGTTGAAATGTGTGGAGAATGACAAAAAAAATTCTGCACATGTTCAACACAATTTCTCAGAATATACTTAATTTGCAGTCAGTTGAGTCCAGAAGCCAAGTTATTAAGTGCAATCATTTTTTTTTTCCCTTTCTAGTGGCTTTGGGGATTGAATCTACGGTTTCCCATATGCTGGGCAAGTGTTCTACCACTGTGCCAGCTAGTCTCCTTATGCAGTTCTTGTCAAGGGACTGAAGGATGAAATACCCTGAAACTAAGAGACTTGATTTCTCCTTGGACCCCTTTTTCTCCTCTCCTAAAAGTTAGGAACTATTGCTCTAGAAATGCTTATTTTTCTGAAAATAGTTTCTAGATGGTTAATGATGGCTCTAATGACCATAGTGTCTTCCGGCCGACAGTCTCTTTAAACCTTAATCAGAAGAAGTCGACCACCCGGAATCCCTTTGAACAACCGAACCTGTCACTCCACGGCTCGAGAGTGCAGCCGTCAGCTAAAAGCACAAAAACAGGGGTCCTGATGCAGGACGCAGGTGCTCGTCCCGCAGCTGAAGAATCCCCCCGGGGCCTCCTTCATCTCCCGTGGGCCCATACTGGTCTTGAAGCTTTGCGGAAATTTACTTTCACCTCCACAGCTCCCATCGAGGAAATCGGAGGCTGTCCATCCCGTGACAGCAATTGGCGTCTGTCCCTCTCCAGCCCCGCGCCCCAACCGGCTTTCAAGCCGCAGGCAGAGACCCCCCGCAGGGCCGTCCCCGAGAGAAGCACGCTGCCCGACGCCTCACGTTTGCCCGCATTCACGGCCCGCCTCCTCAGCCGCCCGCCACACCATCAGAGGCCTCCCCCAAAGCCGCGGGCTGGACCGCACAACCATGCCGGCCCGCGCCTCAGCAGCGATTGGCGGGCGAAGCGCCTCCAACCCGGATGGCGGCCGGCCGACACGTGACCAGCGTGCTGCACGCGCGTTGCCAGAGGCGCCGGCTCCGCCGCCCGGCTCCCGCCGTCCCTGCGCGCGTGCGCGGAACTCACGCTCCGCCCAGCGGCCGTTTCCAAGGGGGGGGCGTGGGCGTGAGCCACGTGACACCCGGCGGCCCTTAGGAAGAGGCGCCGGCCGCTGGGCCTCCGACGCGCTTGCGCAGTCGCTGGACGCGGGCGTTTTTTTCCTCCTCCTCTTTTTTTTTTTTTTTTTTTCTTCCTTTTTCGAATTGGTTCTGACGGGTATTTCGAGTTACAAAATGGCGGCTCCGAGCGCTCTCTTCAACGTTCAGTAGCGGCTTCAGGCGGGGCGGATGTCTCGTCCCCTCAGTGTCCGACTCCAAGCTCCCGAGGCCTGCTGACCACGAAGTCCTTGGAGGTGCTCAGCGCACCGGAAGCTCCCAGCGGCCGCGACCGCCGCCTCGGCCCTGTCCGCCGCGGCGCCCGGGACCCAGCGCGATCTGCGGCGGCCGCCCAGGAGGTGAGCTCGGGCCGGGCGGGCCGGGAAGGCGGGGCGGCGGCGGCGGCGGCGGCCTTGGGCTGTTTGTGAAGCCGGCCCGGGCCTGCCCTGCGACCCGCGGCGTCCCTCCTGGCCGGAGGAGGGCTCGGCGGGGCTCGGGCCTCGGCCCGGACGGAGGTAGGCGGCGGCGGGGCTGCCCTGGCCCACCCCTGGCCTTCATTCCTCACCCATCGTCCCGCTGGCCGGTCGCGGTTGCATTCACAGCGCGTTCCCAGGCCCTTGGTCACCCGGGTTCGCCAAGAGCCGGTCTTGAGGTTTGGGCTTTCCGGGGCGTTTCAGTGACCTCGATCTGCTCCTCGTTCTCGAGCATAGCCAAAGCGGCTTTTTTTTTTTTTTTTTTTTTTTTTGCCATGTGAACTTCATCTCTGAGAGCAGAACTATACTGAAGTCGGTTGCGCACACCGTAGAAAGCGATCGTTCACGAATAATGCATTTCTCCTAATAACTACAGCGCTTTATACCTAGAAAGCAGTTCATAACTTGGTGCCATTTCCCACAAACGCAGACATTGGCAAACTCTTCCGGGCTGCCGGTGTAACCCATTTGTTACGGGGATTCAATTTCCCCGGTAACACATTGGTAGAGGACTTGCCTAGCACGCACAGGACCTCGAGTTCTATTCCCCAGCACTCCAAAAGAAAAAAGAAAAGCCTTGATAATAACAATAATAGCTGGCAAATAAGTCTCTAGTGCCAGGCCTTGTTCCAGGTACTTCGCAGAGATGTCTTTTCAGAAGAGGAAAATTAACTGTTTGGAATATGGAAGAAGTAGGTATTTGGTACCTTTGTTTTTAAAGGCGAGGTTTTGCTATATGTATCTCCTGTGCTGTCCTTGAACTTGGGTGGCTTAGACTGGCTTCAAACTCTTATCCTGCCTCAGCCTCCCCATTGCCATCACCCCGGTTGGTGAAATGTGTTTTAAAAGTTGAGCTTATCGTTCGAGTTACTTTGTTTTCCCACGCTACTACTTTTGAGTTTGGGAGTAAAAGTAGTATTTTATTTTTAACCAAACTTGTTTAGTTAATATTTACAAAGCACTTCCTCTCCTCTGTTCCAGGCACCAAGCTAAGCTATGCTTTTTGTCTTATACAACACTCTTTCTATCCCATAGATAAGGAAGCATTCACCAAACTCAGTTGCCCGGGGTCTCTCAGCTTGTCCCAGATGCTAGCACTAGTATCTTGTAGTATTTTCTCACATATGCAATGCCTCACATCACTGATTCAGCAACAGTTTCCTATGAGTCAAGCAGGTTTGGGACATTTGGAGTCATCGGTAAACCGAACAAATTCTTGCTTTCTGTTTTATCTGACTGAATAAATAGGAAATGGCATTATCTCCATTAATTTATTTATTATGGCAGTTACTCTTTAGTTTCAAGTATGAGTTAGATGTTATAAAGTTTTACTTAGTACCTGTATTTGGGTTTTCCGCCATCCCTTTTGTCCACATCATGAAACAGTGACTGTAGCCCGTCCACTGCTTGCCTCTTCTGCCCTCTGGTGTTGATGTTAGGTAATTATTAGAACAATTTCCTGAGGGATCCAGAAACCTTACCTGTGAAGAGTTCTATGAAGAATGCTGTTTCCGATGAGGTCAGCTTTGCAGTGTTTAGGGGGAGGAGTTAAAAAGAGAGAGTTCCCAGTTACTGGTGTTATTAGAGTTCATGCTGTGTATTTTAGAATCTTCAATTTTAAAGTCATTCTGTAATCAGAAAAAAAGTGCCTGTAAGCCCCTCCCTGCACATCAGATTCTGGAGGGCTTTGGGGTTCTCTGATTTGAAACTTATTCCGTAGTGCTAATCTGCATAGAGCATTAGATGATGGGTAAGATGGGGTCTAGTGTCTGTTCTAGGATGCCTGCTGTGGTGGGTTGCTGTGCTGAGGGCAAATGAACGGAGAAAGCATCAGGAAGGAGTCTGACAGAGAACTGCCAGCCCAGGCAGGTGCTCCTGCTGCTGCTGCTGAGGCTCCAAAGATTCCGAACAATGCTGAGATCAAAGCCCTCAGTCAGATCTGATGAGGGTTCATTTTTTCCCTTTTGTTTGTTTGTTTTGTGTGTGTGTGTGTGTGTGTGTGTGTGTGTGTGTGTGTGTGTCCAGTGCCTGTGAAGGTCAGAAGAGGGCACCGGATCCCCTAGAGCTGGAGATACAGGCATGTGAGCTGCTGGACATGGGTGCTGGGAAAAGAACTCAGGTCCTCTGTAAGAGTAGTGCACCCTCTTAACTGCTGAACTGTCTCTTCAGCCCCTGTTGTTACTATTTCTAAAAAAGAAAGGCTTTTTTTTTTTTTTTTTTGAGACAGGGTTTCTCTGTGTAGCCCTGGCTGTCCTGGAACTTGTTTCGTAGACCAGTCTGCCCTTGAATTCACAGAGATCCACCTACCTCTACTTCTAACCCTGGGGGGTTAAAGGTGTGTGCCACCACCCCTGGCTATTACTATTATTATTACCATGACCATCAACATTATTATCATTATTAAAGATTTATTACTTGGGTTGGTGTGTGTGCTTGCTGTGGAAGCCAGAAGAATTAGCTATCCCTGGAATTGGAGTTACAGGTACTTGTGAGCTTGTGGTGGGTCCTGGGACTCAAACACTTGTCCTCTGCACTACCAGTGCACTCCCTTACCTGCCAAGCCATCTCTCCAGCCCTGAGGGTGTACTTTTGAAGCAATTTATATTCTGAGATGTTAACACATCCATAGTAGTAAGGTTTTGAATTTGTAAGTAATGTCTCAGCTTTTCACAATATGTAATTCAGGGCAATTAAATGTTAATTGGGAGACATTTCTGTCAATTGTAGCCTTAAGAAAACTACTCGTTGCAGAAGTATTTCCAGTGCATTATTTAAATCCTTACCGAAGAATAAACATAGCATCTTTAAATTTTAAATATTAAAAATGTTTTGTTTAGGGCAAGAATATTTGCATTGACCTAAGGACTTTACTGTATGTACAATAGACTACATAAATATTGTAGATTTTGAAAGAGCAATAGATGTTTCATTTAATCTTTCTGAATGGAGTTGGCTTCCTGTTGAGAGTGCCAGTGTTCCTCGGGTCTCTGTGCCTGCCTCTTGAAACAGTAAATGAGTATGTTCCACTGGAGTCCCCCAGCCCGTTGTAAAGCTCTCACTGATACAGTTTTCACCGGCATCAGGAGAATGCTTACCAGATCCTATGCTGGACTAGATTTTTTAAATTACTTGTAATAAAAAAAATTTAATTAAAAAAGTAGAATTAACTTCGCTGAACTCCATATTTTCCTTAATTTCCTAGTGTATTTCCTTCCCTTTAAGCAAATCCATCTAAGTAAATCTCATTTGCTTAAAACCTGTTAACTGCTTTTTCTTATATTTCTCTATTTTGTGATTTTATTACAAAATAAATGAAGACTGCAACAAAAATATTTGTAACAGCTATCTTGGTGCAGAAAAGCAAACATCTTATTTCTGTTTTCTGTAATCTAGGTTCACAAAAATGGCCAAAAGAATTGCGGAGAAGGAATTAACAGATAGGAACTGGGATCAAGAAGACGAAGCTGAAGAGGTACAGGGCAGTTCCCTTGGTGGTTTCTTGCTGTCTGCGGTTAAGCTCATGTTGCGTTCCTCGTGAAGAATATGATGGTAGAATTTTAAAACCTTTAAGAATACACAGAGCAGGAGAGATGATGCCTCCTCGTGAGCTGTGTGCATTTACTGTAGAAACTTGTTCTTCATATGTGATTGTGCTTTTCTACTAGTGTATGCTCCTGATGAGTGTATAGACGTACCTTCCTGCAGAATTCACACACTTGCAGCGTCCTCTACTGTGGTTTGAGTGTATTTTAGACATCACTAGACGGCAAGTTAAGGAAGCCTCAGTCTGCTCTCTCCCCTGTCCCCTTCATTCCGGTGCTTCTCATGCCTGCTGTTTGCTGTTCGAATGCTAGACCTGCATCCCAGCAGTTGTACTGATTGGAATAGAATTTACATCAGCAAGATTAAAGTTGTCTCCTGTGAGGAAACCTTTGCGTATCTAGGTCTCTTGAGCAAGTTGGTACTCCTAGGCGAGTTTACTAAGAAATTCTGTAGCAAAGCTAACTCCAGGTCTATAGCACACAGCTAGGTGGTAAGGGAAGAAGGAATCAGGGAAGAAAAAGTGGTTTGCAGTTTTATTCCTAGGCTGTTGTCTTCCTTTTTGGTACTGATCTGTATGCTGATGTTTAGGGAAACCAAACCACTGGTATGTTAATGTTTTTACAGGGCCTTTGACTGCCTTGGTCTTTAATTGAATCTTTGGTTGTGGATTTTCTCCCCTGCCTTGGTCTTAAGCACAGTCCTGGGAACAAGATCTAGACTGCCATAGAATTGCTTGATACTAAAGTGTGAAAGACAAGGGTGAAAGAACCTGGGCAGGCTCTACTGAAAGGAGTATGGAAATCAGTTACAGGAACTGGACAAATGTAGCCAAATGGTCCTTGATCTGGTAGGAGAGTAGTTTTGATTTTGAGATAGTCTCACTTTCTAATTCAGGCCGGCCTTGAACTGTCTGTGTGTCAGTGCTGCTGCCTCAGCCTCCTGTTTATAGGGGCTATCGGTTGGAGCTGGCACGCCTGACTCAGTGGGAATTTTGTACAGGAAGTATCAGTTCTGGCCCTAACGAGATAGGTAAGAGAATAGATGCAGAAACATCAAAGCCCTTTAGCACATTCTTCACACCGTGGAAGAGCACTGGTTGACTAGGGATGTTTGTGACTAGGTAGCTGGCCTTTTTAGACAGTGGCCAAGGTGTGCAGGACCAGGAGTCTTCTCCAAAACAGCGGAAGACTGTAGCTCAGTGGTAGAGCCCATGCTTAGCACGTGCAAGGTCCTATTCTACAAAAGAAGAATGTGGATGCTATCTGTATCAACTCGTTTGTTTGTTTGTTTGTTTCTCTGTATAACAGCTCTGACTGGCCTCATAAACTCACAGAGATCCACCTGCCTCTGCCTCCCCAGTGCTGGAATTAAAGGCATGTGCCACCGCTGCCCGGCTTTTTTTGAAAACTAGTAGTAAGCTTCTGGTTTCAGAATGGGCTTTACTATCTACTACCAATCATGAACTTGGGATGGTAGCTCTTGTGTCTTGTTGACATAGGCAACTTACTGTGACTTTATTAGTGCTTTTTCTAGACAATATGGCTAAGATATTTGAGGAAGCCAGTCATGAATATTAGTGCACCAAAGATTTGGTGGTGTTCATCTTTTCAGAAATCACATATTCCTGTCTCTGGGTCGGGACTGGAAGCCTGGATTTGTAGATTCTGGAAAACTCATGGCACCTGATTAGAATTGGAATCTACAGAAATCTGTAGATACTCAATGTGAGCTTTTTCTTTTCTTTCTTTTTTATTGTTTTTTGTTTGTTTGTTTGTTTTGGTTTTTTTGGAGACAGGATTTCTCTGTGTAGTTTTGGGGCCTATCCTGGATCTCACTCTGTAGACCAGGCTGACCTCGAATTCAGAGATCCGCCTGGCTCTGACTCCTGAGCGCTGGGATTAAAGGCGTGCGCCACCACCACCCAGTGTGAGCTATTTCATAATGTGTTAACAGTAAACTCTTTTTTTTTTTTTTTTTTTTTTTTGGTTTTTTGAGACAGGGTTTCTCTGTGTAGCTTTGCACCTTTCCTGGAACTCACTTGGTAGTCCAGGCTGGCCTCGAACTCACAGAGATCCGCCTGGCTCTGCCTCCCGAGTGCTGGGATTAAAGGCGTGCGCCACCACCGCCCGGCTACAGTAAACTCTTTTAAGATCATCAGATACCAGATAAGTGTGTCTGTTCTGGCATTTATGTTCAGCTTTTAATCTTCTTTTGGCCTTACTTTTCTGTTGTCTAATTTGTCCATTCTTGCAGGTGGGAACATTCTCGGTGGCCAGTGAGGAAGTCTTGAAGAATAGAGCCATAAAGAAGGCAAAGCGTAGGAACGTTGGATTTGAAGTGAGTGCTTCCTGCAGCTTTGGTGTCTTACTAACAGGTTTCCCAGTTACAGAGCATTGGCTGTACAAATGCTCTCCCTGTGCACATTTTTTATATGTGTATGCATGGGGAGTGGTGCTTGTGTGCCTGCTGTGGCACACAGAGAGGTCAGGACAACTGTGGGAGTCAGTTCTCTCCAGCATCTGGTCCCTGGAAATCAAGTTCAGGTTGTCAGGTTTGGTGACAAGACAGGTACCTTTACCTGCCGAACCATTTCACCAGCACACACATTTTGTTTGTGTGTGTGTGTGTGTGTGTGTGTGTGTGTGTGTGTGTGTGTGTATGCGCCGTGGGTGCAGGTGCCCAAAGAGGTCGGAAGAAAGTTTTAGATCCTCTGGTGTTATAGGTGTTTGTAAGCTCTCTGGACATGGGACTAGGATCTGAACTCAGGTCATCTGGAAGAGCAGCAGCGAGTGCTCTAAACTGTTGAGCCATCTCTAGCCCCTACAAATGCCTTTTTAAAGTGCTTCTTGGTGTAGATCTTAGAAGCTAGGAAATGTAATAATGAGTCATCCTGGTAGCTGAGACAATAAGATGGATAATGACAAAGTTGTGACAACATGAAGAGGAAAAATTAGTACCATGCAAAAGTGGTGTGAGGTGGAAGGAAGGGGGTGGGGGAGGAAAGGAGAAGCCTCTCACCGTGCAGGAGCATTTCATGTGCTGATAGGTTCCATAATATGGTGGCATATGCTGCAAGCTGCAGGAAAATGTAATGGAATTCAGCTACTATCACAAAAGCTACTGCTTGGAAAGGTCAAGGACTTTTCCGAAGGTCAAGCCATGGCTTAAGAAGTCTTGGTGATATTTTGGCTTTCATATATATATTAGCTGATTCCTGCAGTGATTTTCTTGTATGCTGTGTATGCTTCCAAGAACTCATAACAGTTATTTTGTCTGAAATACCTATCAAGCATCCAAGGCCAAATGATCTCCTGAATTAAGGTAAATTACGCTCAGACCCTCCTTTCTTACACAGCCTTAGTGGTATTTATACTAACATTATAGACTCCTAACATTTACCTAACCACCCCTAGGAAGTAGTTTGAGCACACAAATTCCCCTATTCTGATATATTAACCGATTTTAGCTCTCAGTTGACCTCTTCCTTTACCTCTCCCCTTTTGGGTTGTAAAAGAAAGCCTGACGGTCACTGCCTGAGGAAAACTCTTGTTTGCCTTTATGACCCTGTAAGACTTCACACCTGGTGACCTTGCTTTGGCTAGAGCACTGCTGTTGCATGGGTATGTAACTGTAAACCTCAGGGACTGAGGAGGATTTTGACTGGAGAACTAGAAGAATGAGATGGAAGATGAGGAAGAGCCAGATGGGGAAGAACGAGATGAGAAAGACCAAGATGGGGCAGAACTAAGATGAGAGAATTAAGATAGAACATAGAGGGGACAGCAGATAAATGTAGAGAGAAATCAGGCAAGAAAGGATCAAGGTACAGGAACAACTGAAGTTATGTAGATAGGATTTTATCCCAGAGGAATAAAGTAGACGGACAAAAGAGCTCCATGTACTTAGATTCATTTCCTGGAAATAATGCGCGCCATTCGTAGCTTCTCTTCTGGGCCCCTGGGAAGAAGATTATTAAGGACCAGGCTGGTCCGTAATAATATTCGAGAGGTATGTATGTTTCATGCTTTATTCCTGTGCTCAGAAAGGTCTTCTAACTCTTGACCAGAGTCACGTGTCCAGTGTTTAGAGATCACTTCGGCAATCTTCCCCCTTGTAATCCTCACTCCTCAGATAGGTTCTAGACCTGTGAGTGTGACTTTGGTGGCTTAGAATCCATGGTCACAAAGAAGAAGCTATTTTGAAATCAACCTTTGTGGCCACTTCAGAATCAGTCACATGTGTGTGCATGTGGAGGCCAGGAGTCAACATCAAGTGTCCTCTTATTACCACCTTTTATTATTATCATCATCATCATCATTATTACATGTCAGCGGGGGTGGGGGGGGCGGGGGGCGGGTGTATGTGCAGGGCATATGTAGCCGTTGAGTGTCTTCCTCCATGACTCTCCACTTTACATATTGAGGCATAGTCTCTCATTTGAACCCAGACATTGCTGATTTGCCTAGTCTAGCCAGCTAGTTTGCTGTGTGAATTCCCTGAGTCTACCTCCCACTCACTGGGATTATAGGCAGGGCTGCCACACCCAGTCAGCATTTAATGGGTGCTGGGAACTAAACTCCAGTCCCCTGTATTTGTATGGCACATGCTTTACCTGGTGAGCCATCTCCCAACCTCTATTTTACTGGGATGAGACAGAGTCATAGCATCTACCTGAATGAAGAAATGGGCTTTTCCCAAATACCAGATGCAAACAGATCTAGACAATAGAAATAATATGGATGTGTCAAGTCCGGCATAGTAGTGCATGTCTTTAATTCCAACACTGGGAGGCAGAGACAAGCAGATCGGAGTTCAAGGCCCAGCCTGGTCCACAGGTCTGCCTCTGCCTCCCAAGTACTGGGATTAAAGGTGTGTATTACCACTGCCTGGCAAACTGTTTAATTGTGCAAAACATCTATCTTTCGGGGGATGGTGCTTTTGCTATTTTCTTTTTTAAGAGTGAGCGTGTGTGTGTGTGTGTGTGTGTACCTGCACACAGAGGCCAGAAGAAGGCATCAAAGCCCTGGGAACTGGAGTTTTAGTAAGGCAGTTGTGAACCACCTGATGGGGGTGATGAGAATCATGCTTGGGTTGGGTCCTCTGGAAGAGCAGTAAGTGCTCTTAACCACTTAGTCATCTCCCCAGCCCCTTTTAAGATTTGATTGATCAGAAATCCAGTTTAGGGCCGGGGCAGGGGCATTGCTCAGTTGGCAGAGTACATGACTAGCATTTGTGAAGCTCTGGGAATAGTGGCACATGCCTATAAACTCAGGGCTCAGGAGATGGAGGCAGAAGGCTCAGAAGTTCAAGGTCATGGACCACATAGCAAGTGGAAGGCCAGCCTGTGATACATGGTACTCTGCCAAATAGACAAAGGCATCAGAATTAAAGATGTATTTAAGATTTCTCATTCTTTCTGATTTTATTGCTGTAAATGTACCGGTGGTCAGTAAACATTTGAAAATCTGTAGGTGTGATTAAAAGTGCTTTTGAAAAAAAGTCTAACATTAAGGCTAACTAACTGTGCTGTCTTAGTTGGAGTCTCTGTTGCTGCACCATGAGCCAAAGCAACTCACGAGAGGGCGACTTAGAGTTGTAGTCCATCCGAAGGGGAGGAACTAGCAGAGGCCATAGAGCAGCGCTTCTCAGCCTGGGAGTTGCGACCCCTTTGGGGAGTTCCACTCACAGGGGTTGCCCAAGACCATTGGAAAACAGATTTTTATGTTACCATTTATAAAAATAGCAAAATGACAGTTATGAAGTAGTTACAAAAATAATTTTATGGCTGGGGTCACAGCATTAGGAAGGGTGAGAACCACTGCCGGAAAGGAATGCTGCTTATTGTTTTGCTCCTCCTGGCTCTCAGCGTGCTTTCTAACATAACTAAGGAACATCCTGCTCAAGGGTGGTGCTGCTCACAGTGAGTTGGGCCCTCCCACATGGATCATTAATCAAGAAAATCAGGAGGCATTTTCTCAATTGAGGTTCTTCTTTCCAGATGACTCAAGCTTGTGTCAAATTGACAAAAACCAACCAAAACATAGGTTGTCTGAGAAATAAAGGTTTAACTGTGTGTGTGTGTGTGTGTGTGTGTGTGTGTGTGTGTGTGTGTGTGTGTGTGTCTAGACTTTCATAAGGAATGTAAGTTTCACAGCATCTCAGCTGAGTGAACAGGCTGGCCAAGGGAAAAGTTTACTAAAGACAGGAATTAGGAAACAGTAAGGAAAAGAAAGATTGCTTAACTAATAGAAAGGCTGGATTCTGCAGTGTGGTCTCCTCAGATTTCTGGAGGCTGAGAACAGCTTGGAAACCCCAAAGTTCTTGAGAAATTAGGTAAACAGTGAAATATTTTTAATTAATCTAATTTTGTGTTTCTAAAGCTTCTTTAGGCAAATAAATGTTCTTTGAAAAGGTGCATGAGATTTAATTGTATTGGGAATATTTTCAGTTATTCTGGAGCTCGCTGGCAGGTACATACATTTTTAATGTTGCCTGAAAGATAAACAGCCACGACTACCGGAGTTAGAGAGCTTTATTAGGAGGGAATGGGGGGCGGGGTGAGAGAGGGAAGCCAGGCTGGGGTCAGGGAGCAGAGCTGAGCAGGGAGCAGAGAGAGAGGGTGGGGTCTGCATCTGGCTTTTAAGGTGACCACACCACGCATAAGTAGTCGCCAGCACCCCCTGATGATGTAAGACACAAGACTCCGAGCTGCGCATGTGCCGGTGGAGTGAGGGCAGGATCCTAACATTGACTGTATACAGTGCCTTTAAATACAGATTTCAACCATCTCTCCTGACTGTTTCAGGAAGGCAGCTGTGACACTGCTGTCCTTAGAGGCACCATCTTTCCCACTCTCCTGTCTGGGCTGTGCTAGTAGCTTCTCTTAGGTGCAGTGCCCCCACGTCTGAGCTCTGTGCTGTTTCCGAGATGCTGTTGTCACTTAGTTGAGGACGGGAGCTCTGCTTGCCTAATGTGTGCTTTCTTTCTATTGCAGTCTGATAGTGGAGGAGCCTTTAAAGGTTTTAAAGGTTTGGTTGTGCCTTCTGGAGGAGGAGGATTTTCTGGATTTGGTGGTGGCTCTGGAGGGAAGCCTCTAGAAGGACTGACAAATGGAAACAGCACAGCCAGTGCCACACCCTTCTCCAGCACAAAGGCGGCAGTGGAGCCCAAGGCAACCTTTGGTGAGTTGCTCCCTCTCCAGCCCCCTCTGAAATAGTTGCTGAAAGAGAACTCTGCTACCAGGTTGTTTTTTGTTTGTTTTATTTTTTTCTCTTTGACAGGGTCTTTATATGTAGCCCAGGCTGACCTTGAACTCTGTCCTCCTCTTCCAACCTTCTGAATACTGGGATACTGTAGGTGTGTGCTGCCAGACCCAGCTGGTGAGTATGTTTCTAGCACTGCATCCTTGGACATAGCAGTGGAAGGATGGGACTCGGGGAGATGCATGGAGCAAGTGGGCCAGCCCACAGCGATGCTCTTCTCAGCTCAGCCAGCTATTTGCTATGTGACTTCACTATCAGGTTCCTAACCTCTGAGTCCCCGAATTGACTAGCAAGAAGTCCTAGTACATACACACCAAGGGCTTTCTGTGCACCTCCCACTGCAAATGCCAGTGGAAACTGGGGTGACACTGTCTTTGGTCACCATTTCCCAACATAGGTTTGAACAGGAAATATTGACTACCCAGTCCTGTTTTGGATGAGTTAGTCAGCAACTTCTGGGATTCACATAAAGAACAGGATCTTGGGCTGAATCCTAAAAATGATCCTGACAGGCTCTGAAAGTGTATGCTGTGTGGTGTTTGTTGGTTTGAGATGGGTCGTGTAGCTTAGCTGCAGGAGCTCAGGCTAGCCTTTAGCCGTGTAGTGAGGATGACTTTGAACTCTGCATCCTCCTGCAGGCACTCAGCACCACTGACCTGTGTAGTCCTTACTAAGCAGAACAGCCTTAGTGCCTTAGTAACCACTTGCTGGATATCCAGTTCCTCAGTGTTGGTTTCCACACACAAGCTTGGTGAACAGTGACGGGGAAAGCAGAGAGCATGATGGTAGCCGCACAAAAACCTTATTGTAGCTGAGCCTAGTGGCACACGCCTGTTGTCCCAGCTCAAGCTGAAGCAGAATGGGGAGTTCCAGCTTGCCTGGGACTACATAGCAAGACTCCATTGAAAGACTCCAGTAAAAACACACCAACACCTAGAGGGTTTCATCAGACTGCTTCTAAAGTGTTTGGACTTTAACTTCTTACAGGTGCTTTTGCTGTGAATGGCCCTACTACCCTGGTGGATAAAAAGATTTCAAGTCCTAAATGTACTAACAGCAATCAGCTGGCCTCCTCTGGCTCTGCTTCCAGTACAGCCTGCACTGGGAATGTCTATCACAAGCAGTTGGCTGGCTTGAACTGCTCTGTCCGGGACTGGATAGTGAAGCATGTGAATACGAACCCACTGTGTGACCTGACGCCCATTTTTAAAGACTATGAGAGGTACTTGGCCACGATTGAGAAGCAGCTTGAGAATGGAGGCAGCGGCAGTTCTGAGAGCCAGACTGACAGGGCAGCGATCGGAATGCAGTCTCCCTCCCTTTTTAGTTCCGCAAAACTACAGCAAGAGTCACCATTTTCGTTTCATGGTAACAAGGCAGAGGACACATCAGAAAAGGTGGAGTTTACAGCAGAAAAGAAATCGGACACAGCACAAGGAGCAACGAGTGCCTCGTTTCATTTTGGCAAGAAAATTGAGAGCTCAGTTTTGGGCTCGTTAAGTTCTGGCTCCCTGACTGGGTTTTCATTCTCCCCTGGAAACTCTAGTTTATTTGGTAAAGATGCTGCCCAAAGTAAAGCTGCCTCTTCACCGTTTTCTGCTAAAGCACCAGAGAGTCAAGCAGGAGGCAGCAGCAGTGAATGCAGAGGTAAATACTAAGCCACTGATTGACATCTGTGTAGGTCTAATGAGAAGGTCCCAGGTGCTGCATTTCCTGTGTGTGTCACAGTTGCTTAGTCCTCATCCTTAACATAGAGCAAGGCCTGTTTTATAGGGTGCTAAAAGCTCACGAGGGCTGAATGGAGTGGAGGTGTGGTTCTTTGGAGAAGAGAGATGACATGGTATGCACCAGCAGTACAGCCTCCGTCTTCATGAGGTGGGTCTCCAGGTGCCTAGTGAAGGTGTGTTAAAGATGGCGGCAGTGAGCCGGGCAGTGGTGGTGCACGCCTTTAATCCCAGCACTCAGGAGGCAGAGGCAAGTGGATCTCTGTGAGTTCAAGGCCAGCCTGGGCTATAGAGTGAGTTCCAGAACAGGCTCCAAAGCTACACAGAGAAACCCTGTCTCGAAAAACAAAAACAACAACAACAAAAAAAGATGGCTGCAGTGGAGGCTGAAGTTTTAACATGCTAACTAAAAAGCACTGAGCGCGTGGTGGTGTGTTTAGAAGAAGTAAATTAAAAACTTTTAAAAATTGAATATTACTGAAAAAGCGCAACATGAATGTCTGTTGAATTTGATTGTATTTAGGAATTTGGTTGTAAATGAGATGCTCCAGCATTAATGTTAGGACCAGACCTGCTGCAAAGGAGGGTCCCTCCTCCCCAAAGGAAGGCCCTGCTGTTGTGAATCACATCAGTGTCCTTGGACCTTTTGTACCCAGTGTGTCAGGTCTTGGCAGTGGGCAGGCACAGTTGCAGGGTTTCTTCGGAGGTATTGTTACCCACAGTGCTCATAACATAACACTTCAGGACTACTTCCATTCAGTTAACTTTCTAAAATGATTGGTGTGCTTAGTATGTGCACTGTGCAGTGTGGTGGCCACTAGCCATGCCTGGGTAGTTCCATACTTGCATTGTGGCTAGTGATGCTGAGGGCTTAGATTTCTAATTTCCAGGGGCAGGGATTTTGTTTTCGTTTTTGTTTTAAGATTTATTTATTTATTATGTATACAGTGTTCAGTCTTCATGTATCCCTGCAGGCCAGAAGAGGTTTTAATATCTCATTACAGATGGTTGTGAGCCACCATGTGGGTGCTGGGAATTGAACTAAGGACCTCTGGAAGAGCAGTCAGTGCTCTAACCACTGAGCCATCTCTCCAGCCCTTATTTTGTTTTATTTTTCTCTATGTAGCTCTGGCTGTCCTAGAGCTCGCTATGTAAACCAGGCTGCCCTTGAACTCACAGAGATCTCCAGCTTCTGTCTTCCAAGTGCTGGGATTAAAGTTCTGAGCCACCACCATAGCCAACAAGTTTCTAATTTTTGATAGAGTTACATGTTTTAAATAGTTAAATGTTCCTGTGTGTAAATGATTGTGTGGGGCAGGGGGAACAGCTTTGAAATACCTGAGGCCACAAAAGTAAAAGGAGGGAAACAATTGGATGAAGCCTAAAATCCCCTGGACATCCAGGAAGGCAGTCAGCAGTGAAGATGCCTGCGGAATAGAGGAGACATCTGGAAGCTGAACAGCTGGTGGCCCTGATGTCCAGAATTTAAAAATGCGTGACTGTTAAGAGCTCTCCTTGTTCTTCCATAGAACCCAAGTTTGGTTTCCAGCTCCAGAGCTCTTCTGACCTCTACAGGCTCCTGCACACACATGTGCACATGCACTCACGTACATGTAAATAATAAATACAAAGGTATAAGGAACTCAGGACAAGGAAACAAATAGTAAAGAATATTGTGAGGACTACATGATAGGGTAGGCAAAATGAAGACTTTCGATGGCCACAGAGAACAAGGCCAGTGTTTCCCTCAGGTGTGGATGTGACCTTCCTTCCAGAAGGCTGTATTGTCTGGGTGACAGTTCTGCTATTATTGCCTGAGCCTTGAGTAAAGTCAAATCTAGGACTTTGGGCCCAGCCTGTTGGCTTCCTCTGCTGTTAGAGTAGGCCCTAACACTGAGTCCTCAAGGATGCATATTAATGTGCTGTTCACCAGGGGTACAGTACCTTTGTCTGTTTGCCACTGCACCACTGTGCTGTCCGTCCTACCTGGGCCAGCCACCACTGCTCCTTGTCTGAACTCTTCCTCAGGGTAGATGGCCCATAACCCCCCCCACACACTTTTTTTTTTTTTTTTTTTTTTTTGGTTTTTCGAGACAGGGTTTCTCTGTGTAGCTTTGCGCCTTTCCTGGTACTCACTTGGTAGCCCAGGCTGGCCTCGAACTCACAGAGATCCGCCTGGCTCTGCCTCCCGAGTGCTGGGATTAAAGGCGTGCGCCACCACCGCCCGGCCCCCCACACACTTTTTAAGAGATTTATTTATTATGCATAGTGTTCTGCTGGCATGTATGCCTACATGCCAAAAGAGGGCACCAGATCTCATTACTTGTGGTTGTGAGCCACCATGTAGTTGCTGGGAATTGAACTCAGGACCTCTGGAATCTGGAAGAGCAGCCAGTTCTCTTAACCTCTGAGCCATCTCTGCAGCCCCCGGGGGCCCCTTTTATTTCTCCTCTCCTCTAATAAGAGGAGAGTGTCTCCCCAACGTGGGCAGCTGTACCATCCCTTGCCCTGCACCCTGCACCATCTGACACTGCTGCTGTCTTGGGGTTACCACGTTACCATCAGAAAAACTTGGAATTTGTTGAAACAGCAAGTGTCTGGCCTTCCTGGAGCACCTTCCCAAGTCCTAGAGCCTCAGCTAAGTAGTCATTTTGAAGCTTGCCGGGAGATAGATCCGAGTGGACCTTAGTTGAGTCTTTTGATCCAAGTCCTTAGTGTTGCTTTAGTCGGGCAGGTTGGACACAGCTGCCTTTCTCTTTGAGAAGACCCTTCGGTTGTGTGTCAACAGTGTCTCTCCTGAAAGAATGTGCCCTTCCTGCCCCTCCCAGTGAGCCAGGTCCCTGTAGTACAAGACCATTGAGCCCTGTGACAATCATCAAAGCTTTGGAGCAATTTCTCTGACAAGCTTGACCTGTAAAACAGTCATTTTTGCCCTTTGGCCATTGCTGATGGTGGTTATCCCTGGGTACAGTGTGGCTCTGGACCGAGAACGTTGGCAGGGGTGGTGTCGGGCGCCCTCTGTAGTGTTCACAGTTGTATTTACCAGCTCCCATGAGTACTCCAGGTCCATCTGCAGGATGGTGGGTGCAAGCATCTGCTGACTCTGAGTGGTTTCTGTGCCAGGTGGCGATGAAGAAGAGGATGAGCCGCCCAAGGTGGTGGTGACCGAAGTGAAGGAAGAGGATGCTTTCTACTCCAAAAAGTGAGTGGGCTGCGGGGGTGGGGGCGGCCTGCAGGCCTGGCTCCAGCTGGACCTCAGCTGGACCAGGGAAGAAGGCTCGGTCTGTTTGATGAGTATGGTTTTTGTTTGTTTGTTTGGTTTTTGGTTTTTGGTTTTGGTTTATTTGAGACAAGAGTTTCTCTGTATAGCCCTGGCTGTCCTGAAACTTACTTTGTAGGCCCCGCTGGCCTCTGCCTCTCCAGTGCTGGCATTAAAGGCATGTGCTACTGCCACCAGGCTTGGCCTGTTTATTTTGAAAACAAATCAGTTCTAAAGATGTGCTGGGCACATCTCCACATGTCCTGGGCTAGCTCCTCAGTGAATTAATTGGGCTTCTGTTCTCCCTGTGAAGTGCTTCAGAAAGGCTTCCATGACCTCCTTCCTTATCTCTCCTCTCTCTCTCTGTTTTCTTCCTTCTCCCACAGAAAATCACCTAGTCACTGATCTTGGTTCTGCTTCTGCTGTAAGCATGGAGGTGTCTGTGGTCCCTAGGATGGGGTGGGCCTGGCTGTGGCTGGGCAGCCACAGCCAAAAAGTTAGGCACAGTTGTTCCTTCCTGTTATGGGTATATGAGCCTGTCTGTCCTCTGCTGATGGGAGCTACCTCTTTGTGAACAAGACTGGAAGGAAAATTTTAATTCTGTTGTTAGGATTAAATGAGGTTATTTTGTACTGAAATATTTACTGAGAAACTTTTGTCCTATTTGGGAAGCTTCCAGTAGTGTTTTTATAACACAGATATTAGAGTGCTGTCCTATGTTGCAGGTGCTATGGGCCATAGAATTTTGTTTTATTTCAAGAGCTTTTTAGGCAGTAATTTTGATTTTTTGAGACAGGGTTTCTCTGTGTAGTTTTGGTGCCTGTCCATGGATCTCGCTCTGTACACCAGGCTGGCCTCAAACTCAGAGATCTGCCTGGCTCTGCCTCCTGGGTGCTGGGATGAAAGGCGTGCTCCGCTATCGCCCAGTTTAATTTTGTTGTTGTTGTTTGTTTTGAGTAGGGATCTAATTGTGCAACCCTGGCTGACCTTGAACTCACAGACCCACCTGCCTCCACCTCCAGAGTGCTGGCTCTATTTTCTTACCTAAGGGTCTGCGTTTAACACATAGGCTTGGAAAACAGTGCGCTGCTTTAGCCGTAGTCCCACCCTATTCCAGATTTATCTCACTGTCTTAGGGAATCAAAAGGGAAGGCCTGAAGAGAATTTGAAAACATACGGGAAAGCAGGGTCGGAGAGATGCAGGACAGACAGTTGTGTCTGTGCCTGCCACTCAGGACCAAGGCACAGGAGAGGGCAGTGAGCAGTGGGTCAGCTGGGATGCTGAGTGACTTGAGGAAAGATGGTTTGTAGGGGACTGTGATTGTTACTAGCCAAGTTCACCTAGCATGCCCAAGATCCTGGATTCCATGCCCAGCACTACAAAGCAAGGTGGTGGTGGCGGCGGCGGCGGCGAATTCTAGAATATCTAACTAGATTATTTTACTCTGATTTTCTTAACCCAGATACCAGCAGTCTGGTAAAGAGGCTTTATTTTTCTCTTACCCACTGCAGTTGACTTACAGGAGGGTAAACAGTGGTGTCAGCAAACTGACTTGTTGAATCTGATCATGGCTGGTATTTTTCCACAGGTGTAAACTATTTTACAAGAAAGACAATGAATTTAAAGAGAAGGGTGTGGGGACCCTGCATTTAAAACCCACAGCCAGTCAGAAGACTCAGCTCTTGGTACGGGCAGACACCAACCTAGGTGAGTGCAGAGCCATCCCGGGGAGTTTGGTAAAGAGCTTTGTCTTGACCCTGCGGTTCTTTGGATTTTGAAGCTCAATAATAGGGGTTGGTTTTGTCTAATGAAAGTCATCTTGATGTCAAATTGATCTTCTGGTTCCCAATATGGATGTGGTTTTGAGTGTCAGGAGCATCGTGTACACAGTATAGGTGTGGTGTTAAAAGCTGTAGTGGGAAAGTACCGCAGAGGCTATCATTGCCGTACACTGGAGTGTGGCAGGAACGGCATGCAGGTGGGACCGTTTGGTGAGCACAAAGGAGAAGTACACAGGTTTCAGTTTAAGGGGGTTGCAGGGGGGGTTGGTACATGAAGGGCCAAGGTTATTAGGTCTCATTCCTCAGCTGATCTCTACCCTAATTTTGGAACAGGATCTCACTAAACCTGAACCTTATTTATTGATCAGCTTGACTGGCTGACTAGTGTGTTTCAAGGATCCACCTGTTTGTGCCACCCCCTCATGCCTACCCTTCTCTAAGCTGGGATGACAGGAATGTGCTGCTGTCCTCAGCTTTTTAAAAACATGGATTCTAAGATTTGAACCCGGGTCCTTGTGTTGCACGCTTGCGATGGAGCCATCTCCAGCCTAGGGAATCTGTCTATCCAGAACAAGAAGACCACGGTGCTGTCTCCTTTCCACACTTGAGCTAACGCTCGCAACAGTCCGTTAAGAGACTAGCTCTGACAGCAGTGGGCCTGTGGGGTGTGGTCAGTAGTGTGAGACTGCCCGGCATCACCGAGAGACTCCTGGGGTTCGCTTTCCTGTGATTTGACTGACTAGGCCCGTGTCACCATAGTGTCACTCCTGCCCAGTGAGCAGTGCTGGTGAGAAGCACTGTGTCTGCTGACCCCGCATCCTTAAATCCCATGAAATGGTGAAGATCTGGGTAAGCCAGTGACACTTGGAACAAGGCTCCTGTCTCGGAGATTTCAGAATGTAGACAGTTTGCTTGGTGCCTGTCCCACAGCTTGGCACAGTCCAGCATACAGGAAATGAAAGACTATGGCTGTAACTTTTAACACATGGAGAAGTTGCCTCAGTGTAGAATCTCTGGCCTCTTAAAGAATCCTACAGTTTTGATACATGTTTATATGTTGTTTTCATAAATATTTTCCTTTGTTTACTCAAAGGCAACATACTGCTGAATGTTCTGATTCCACCCAATATGCCGTGCACCCGAACAGGGAAAAACAATGTCCTCATCGTCTGTGTCCCCAACCCTCCACTCGACGAGAAGCAGCCCACAGTCCCGGTCACCATGCTGATTCGGGTGAAGACGAGCGAGGATGCAGATGAATTACACAAGATTTTACTGCAGAAAAAGGATGCCTGAGCACTGAGGCCGACCAAGGAATGTTGCCACATTGCTGCTTCCCCTCTGCCCCTAAAACTTAGTCACATTCTTTCCTCTTCTTACTGTGACATTCTGAGAACTTCTAGGTAACGGGAAACTTCTGTGAGGAAGATTAAGGCCAATAAAACCCTGGGTGTGTCAACTCTGTTCCCTTCCTGAGAACTAAGCAAAATACATTCAAGGGAAAAATTGGGAAGATTTTTAATGTGGATTCATTGAGTAAAAACTAACCTAAGTGATTCTTAATGGACTGCAATCAGGGTACCAGTTAGCTCTCCAAAGGCTCCTGCAGGCAGCCTTGGGCTCCGCTCTCCTGCCTGCCCCAGGAGACCCCATGGCAGTGTCCCTCAGTGCTCCGGAAGACACCCATCGCTCCCCTCCTGTGGGCCTCTCTGACCCGTGACTAACACTCCTGCCAAACACCACGCCGCCACACTGTGACTGCGCTAAACTGTGGGTACTGGGTGTCGCTGTCATCGGCCTGTTGGCAGGTACTGGCCTTTGACCTGGGGCTGCTTGACTGATCCAGAAACGGCCTTTTCATGAAAAGGACATGAGTGGCTTGTCGGGGAGCTGGCGGCGTAGACTAGGTTTTGTTTTTATCCAGGAGGTGCTCTTACTTTACCCCCTCAGTTAATGTGGAAGGGGCTGTCAGGAATAATGGATTTTAAAAGCACAAATTTGGTAGCTTTTTTTATATCATTTCTATACCACAAACAAGCCTTTATTTTAAAAGAAAAAAGAGAAACCATACTGAAAAGGGATGTGTGCTCATGGCCGTTTCTGCCTGCTGAACCCCATGGGTACAGCCTGAGTAGAGTCCTCTCAGGAACCGTGCACTCAAAAGAAGCAGGAGTGTGGGAGTGGGAAACCACCGGTTTGGCCTGTAGCTTCAGACAGCAGCATGTTACTGGCATCTGAAAAACTCGTTTTTATTTTTATTTTTTTAAGGCTGAGGTATTGTGTCCATTTGGAAGAGAGCCGTGGTTCTGCACGGGCCATTCATGTCACTTCAGAGCGGTGAGGTTACTAATACTAGCATTCTCTGAAGACGAGACATCAATTAAACGCAGGACTTGATGCCTAGCTGCTCATGGTTCACACACCTGTAATCCAGTGCTGGAGAAACTGAGGCAGGAAGATGGTGAGTTCACAGCAGCCTGAGCTACATAGTAACCCCCCCCACCCCCACTCCCCCATCTCCCACCCCCCCCCCCCCACACACACACAAAAAGGACTAAAGTTCCACTCTGATTCCTCATGAAACCATTCAACACTAGGACCAGATCTTGTCTGAAGGCTTAGGGTCAGTGCCCAGGGTGCACACTTGTGTGCTCAGATCGTCAATACACAGCTGTTCTGACCTGGGCAGAGTCACAAAACCTGATGGCACAGTTGCCTTCTCAAAACGGCAGTGCCAGGGGTGGGAATGAAACCTAGTTAACTTTTGTTTATGTAGCCATGGCTAGCCTTGAACTCGGAGATCCACCTGCCTCTGCCTCCTGAGCCCTGAGCTGGTTAGCTTCTGTTGAGGTGGGGTGGTAGGGTTTATCACTCAGGGTTACAGTGCTCTGCACAGATGGCATGCTTGTGCTTCGTGGGGTGTGGACCTGGGGAGGTGCTGTGCATTGATTTGCTTGCCATTTGGCATTGAGAATTGGTTTCTAACAAGCAAGTTGCTGCTTCTGTTATCGCTGGCCCTGCCCTGTTGACATTGGGTTTGCCCAGCTTTCCAAAGATGTAATGAGGGGAACGTATTCAGAACAGTGCCATGTACCACGTGCCCGTGGGGCTGACTGCTCTCAGACTCTCAGGCACTTTCAGGAACTTGTCTATTCGTGGGGGTGGGGCTCTGTGAGCATCTGCCCATGCCTTGAATATTTACCAAAAGAACAAAAGCAAAAAAGGTCGCAACTGGGTTGCCTCCTAAGCTCCCTAGTCCATTTTAACTGTAAATTAGTGGGTGTGGCTCTCCCTTTGCTAACATTCCTAGCCCCAAGTTTGCTGCTAAGACTATCACTTTTGGAAGCGAGAATTACAGGGGAGAGGTGGTGTGCCCGGAACTCAGTGTGTCTTGTCCTTGTGGTATAGGAGAGGCTCAACACTCTGTACTTGACCTGAGTGTGAGTCACTATACTGTCTGTGTCCCAGGGAGGCTGGCCCCTGGACGGCTGTCTCTTCTCCCTCCACTGTGTTAGTAGCTGGTTTCAACTTATGGCTTTAACTTCATTTATGTTTCAACATGTTAAAATTTGCCTCTTGTATGTTTGATAGGAACTGCGGCTTTTATCTCCAGTTGGAAAATCTAAAGTCTTTCATATATTTGCCTGAGGAAGTATGTGTTCTCTGTGGTCAGGGTGCATCTAGGCAGACACTGAGCCTGGGCCACACTGTATCTCCCGCTTTCTTTCGCACATTCCCAGTAAACAAAGTCTGAGCCCTGTGCTGGCTTCCTCGGAGAGCCACACCGTATGGGCTGTGGCTGTGTTAGTGACAGGCCCAACTGCTGATGGGCCGATTTCTCTTTTACAGTTTCAGTTCTAAATCCTAATTTGTACATGCTGCGTGCCAAAAAAAAAAATACCTGCTGCGGAGTCTAGGGAAAATGCCACCTTGTCAGGGTTTTCCCTGACAGACTCCTCTACCTTTTGAAGGTTAAGGAGTCTGTTCTTACCAGTTTGTTGTTATGTTGTTACTATTTCTGAAGATGAGAAACAGCCCCCCTGAGGCTGCAGGCTACGGGCTCAGACCAAGTCTCATTCTGGAAGGGGGATTTTAAGGAAATGACCTGTTCTGTTACCCATAGGTGAAGTTGGGAGCTCTTCAGGGCATCTTCTAGCCCCACGCTCTGCACAAGGCCACCGCATACTCTCCAGAAGCAATCATAAGACTGAGGACAGATTTGTAAAGGGGATGTAAGACTTCTTAACAATCACATGGAATAATCTGCTTTTTACCTTAAACAGGAAATTGTTTTCTAAAGCTAAAATACTTGAATTGTCAGACAGTATAATCTCAGTGTGTGTGAGCTTTTGAATGAGCCTGTGAGGAAATGTACCAATCCATGAAATGTGAATAAATGGAAAGTTAACCCCGGGTGTGTGACACTGGTTTGTTTCTGATACCCTGGCAGATCAGTGGAGAAGGGGCACGTGACAGTAGTGTGCAGAATCATTTCTGAAGTGGGGGCTGACCTGCATGGAATTACAGTGGGGTGCAGAGCCCCAGACTAGGGCTGGAGGAGGCTAGCTTTCTCCTCCAAAAGTAACACTGAATTCTAGTCCATTCAGTGATGTGTTGGAGCTGTGTTCAGATTCTCAAGTTTCCTAAGGAACACAGCATTATCTAAGTTATAAGGCATTTCCTAGTTGAAAAAGAAGGTAATGGAATGCTGTCCCCAGGGTTCTGAACTGAGACAAGTGACAGGTGCTTCCTGAAGAGTAAGACTGTCCCTGAGCCACTGGGGAAACTGGCTGATTTGGTGTGGGCTCCCACAGACTTTCCAGGACTGACAGCTTTTGGGGCCCCCTAAGCCCACTGAACCAGAAGCTCAGGTTAAGGCCCAGTCTTTAGTGGTTTTCATACAATCACACAACTAGTACCAGCCGTTGTATGTGACCAGATGACCTGGCACACAGCTGCACTTGACCACTACCAGCCGGCAAGCTCCCTCCCTGTAATCCAGGTACAGCCATGAAATAAACACCTGTTAGCACATCCTAGGAGTAAATGGCAGTGACCACCAGCATTCCCAGGAACTATGCTGACCTCTATACATGACCTTGTCTAACTTCATTGTTGGTGAACCTGAAGGGATGTATTGGGGGTGTCATGGCTTGCTAAGGGGCCCGATCTATGTGGCCCTTTCCAGTGTGCCCACTGAATCACTCAATTTCAGTGGTTTCTGGAATTGGCTTAAGTCTTTTGAGTAAAATTGTTCATTAAAAATATAATCAAGCCGGGCGGTGGTGGCGCACGCCTTTAATCCCAGCACTCGGGAGGCAGAGCCAGGCGGATCTCTGTGAGTTCGAGGCCAGCCTGGGCTACCAAGTGAGTTCCAGGAAAGGCGCAAAGCTACACAGAGAAACCCTGTCTCGAAAAACCAAAAAAAAAAAAAATATATAATCAAAGCTCACCAGAAACAATGGTTATTTCAAACTGAGCAACCTGATTGCTTTATTAAAGTCAGATTCCAAAATGAAAGAGCCATCCACATAGAGGAGAGAAAAGTCTTGCTAGCCTGTTGGCTTACATGAGGCTATAGGAGGCCAGTGAGTGACATTGTTAAGAACAGAACAGGACCCTTTCTTTTATTACCCATCCCCCCGAAGCAAGCTTTCCCTTCCTTAAGTTTCCCAGCTTTCTGTCACTTTAACAAGCACAAAGTCCGATGTCTCCAGGTGACATGGGTATATACAATGAGCTACAAGGAGTACGTTATTTTACATTGCTCTTTTCTCCATATGTTCTGGAAGGTTTTCCTTTTCAGAGAGCATTTTCTTCCACACTAGGGCTGACAGCTGCTCCTCAAAGGTATGGGTCCGGATAAAAGACCTGAGACAGAACTCTCTTCCCACAGCATCTGGGAAGCTGGAAGGCCCGCACTGCAGCCAGCATCTAGGGCAGAGACTTCAGGCTACCCAGGGATAGCAAGGAGGCGTGACTTACCTGCTAAGCCCATGCCTCCTTCCTACCACCTTACAGTTGGAGGTTCCAGTTCACAGGGCTCTCCTGGTTTGGTGTTTCTAGGGTAGGGGCTGATCCTTCCTTACTGTGTTCTCTCAGACCCGTGTCCACTCCTCCACTGCAGTTCCTAACTCCAATGTATATAGTATATTAGGCCCAGTCCCTTGTGACATAAGTCATTTGGCATGCTCCCTATGCGTGAAAGGTGGCTGTAATACTTTCAAGCTGTGATGATTGCAGGTACCTGCTCAGCAGCCCACTGTCACAGGTGCTGGGTGACAGGGACAGTAAGGCACCTGCCAGGATTTTTCCTAAACTCACTAGGTTCCAACTTCTATTCCAGCCATCTTCCCACTACCATAAGGGTTTTTATAGGATTCTTAGAAAAGCTTGGGAAGTTTCAGTCCAAACCCTGCCAGGGTGTATTTTCATGGGAACACAGAACCAAGCCCAAAAGGCATCATGTGATAGCTTTGGAAACACCTACACCTCTGGCCAGCATGGTCACTGTCCCCTCACAGGGTCTTCACAGACCAGCAGCCAGCAGGACAGCCAGTGCATGGGGTGGCCTGTCAACCCCAGCGGGAACCATTCAGAACAGTGTCTGTGGCAAAGCTTCCCTGACTTGCTGTAGTGTCTGTATTAACCTGAAACGTGTATTAAAAGAAACAGGTATGGGCCAGGGTCACTTCTAAGAAAACTCATTTTCAGTGTCTCTAAAAGGCAAAGCAATGTCTCAAAGAACCCTGAAATCATAAAGCAAAGTCAACAGCTTTCACAAAGCCTGCCTTGAGAGGCTTTCTGTTGGGTGAGCACGGGTGTCCATGGGCAAGCCACTTGCAATCCGTACACTAACTCATTCAATGTACTCATGTCTTCATTGAAATGTTTTTTTGTAGAAATCACAAGTTTTGAAGTAACAAAAACAAAAAACAATTTTTGTAGGTATTTTTTGTATTTGTAGTAATTACTCATATAATTTTGAAAGAGGGAAGATTGCTATTTGCATCTAAGTTTCCTGACCTACAAAGTAAGGGGCTGAAGTCAAAAGAAGGTAGAAAGGACTGCACCGAGGGGCACAGTCCAGCTGGTAAGAGTGCGTGCCCAGTGGCACAAAGCCCTGGGTTCCACCCCCACCACAGCGTAAAACCAGGCACAGTGGTGTAAGCCTGTAATCCCAGCACATGGAGGTGGAGGCAGAAGGTTCATTAGTTAGCTCAAGGTCATTCTCTGCTAGACAGCAAGTTTGAAGCCAGCCTGGGCTACATAGACCCTGTCTCAAAAACAGACCAAACACACACACACAATTGCTAGCTCATGGTCTGAAATCACCTTGGAAACAGAAACCTGTAAACACAAACTGTCAGCAGGCCATGGCTCCCTCCCCTTGTGAGGATCTACCTGCTGTAGAACTCAGATCCCCACCCCAGCCATGAGCTGTCAAGTCACTTAGCTTGGCGTGGTGTTGCCAGCAGTGGCCAGTGGAGGCCTGCAGGTTCCTGTCAGTATCTCATCAGTGATGGCCTTTCAGGTACTGCCACTCCTCACCTAGAGGGACAGGGGGCACTCACTCTGGCTACTCCCCCAAAAGGGCCATTGCTGATGCCCCCAAAGGCTACTTCTGTTCAAGCTCAAGATCTTTACCCTTAGTCTTCAGGCCCACCAGGGACACTCCATGCCAGGGACAGCGACTCCTGTGTACGTTCATGTCTCATAGAGCCCTTAGTCCTTTGGGTGTTATATTTAATGTCTCATAGAGCCCTTAGTCCTTTGGGTGTTATATTTCTTAGGGAGGCTACATCCAGGGGACAGTCCTGCGTAATGATGCAGAGGTGAGAGAGAGCCTGAACAGAGAAGTCGTGTGCTATCAAGATACTTGGATTGTGAAGCTAACCTGAAAATGAACCGGACCTAAATCATCAAACTCAATACATCCAGAGTTTTGGCCAAAAACTTCTGACTACTTATGACACTGTCAAAAAAAAATTTTTTATAATTATTAGACTAGACAAACTACATAGGGGCTGGGATGTCTTTTAATGAAAACGGTTTTTGTTTGTTTGTTTGAGACAGGGTCTCATTATGTAGCCCTGGCTGTCCTGAATTCACTATGTAGAGCAGGCTGGCCTCGAACTCATGGAGAGCCACCTGCCTCTGCTTCCCAAGTGCTGGGATTAAAGGTGTGCTCCACCACACCTGGCTTATTTTATTTTTTGCCTGTGTTTTAGATCATAATCTTTTGGAGTAGAAATGAGCCTGGGCTGCCTTTGTAGGCCGGGATTCCAGCAAGATCCCAGGAGGTAAGGTGGACACGGCCTTAAGAAACAGAGACGCCCCCTCCAAAGAGCACAAAGCAAACAGTGCTTGCTTCTTAGTGTCCTAAAGACTGACACCAAGGTTTCCTCAAAACACAGCTGCACTCGAATTCCAGCTGCCATGTGTCACTGTGTTGTGTGAGGACAGGCATGTTCCCAGGAAAAGGAAAGATGGTCTCAGAAGCCAGTCTGTCAACCCTAGGATTCTGTCACTTGTCACTCTCAGACTTTGAAACAGGGTCTTGCTATGTAGCCTAGGCTAGCTGGGAACTGTCCTGCCTCAGCCTCAGTACTGAGATTTGCAGACATGTCTGGCCCTCTGATATCAGCTATTTGAAAAAGTAAACGTCAGAATTCTATCCCAGTTCTCAAGAGCCTCAACATGTTTGGAACTCAAAAGTACCCTTTGGAGAAAGGGGAAGGTTGACCGAATATCTGGCTGTGTGCTCAGGGACAGCATGCGGTTCCAACCATAGACTGGGGCTCAGAATAAGCTTGCCTCCTTCCACTGTTCCTCGTGGTTCAGTTTGAAGTTCACTCAGCCTCTCTGGGGTGCTTTCCTTCTCTATAAATGGAATGATGGTACCTAAGCATTGGAAATGGGCCTGTGGATATCAGTTACTTCCATGTGCCACACAGAGCCAAGTAGCATGACACAGACTGTACCTTCCTACAACCTGGGAAGCACTTGTATTCACAGTTATCCCAGCTTAGAGAAGCCAGTCTTGCCCAAGCCCAGCTGAGAGAACATGGCTAAGCTCTGGGAGAGGGAAACTCCCTGAAAAGAGAAGCCATGGAATTGCTACAGTCTAGGACAGCCTCAGTCTTCTGCAGAACACACACCTGGCTGCATTTCCCCCAAGATACCAAGTCCAGAGTGTTCAGACCCCAGAATGGCTAGGGTCCTGAAGTGGCAGGCTGCTATGACCTCCCTAGAAACAAATGTGGGACAGCAGTCACCCCCCTGCAGGAGAAATGGAAACCCTAGACTGCACGGCCACACCCATAGGCCTGAGGTACTCTGGCATTCTGGGGCAGGATGTGAGTCTGCTTCAGTGGTTAGACTACAGCATGGACCCAGGCTCCAGCAGATCAGT